CTTTGTTTTACTGCTATTCTGTTTTGATTGTTGTGAGCTGCCTGTTGTCATTAGGTATTGAGGGGAATCTGTTTAATAAATAAATATCTATAATTATACAACTTGGACACTGTTTATTTGGCAATTCAAGTAAATGTATCAGTAATCAATATTATTAGAAATATAGGAATACTTGAATCATTTTCATCAAGGTGGCTAAAGGAAGGCATAACAGATAATAGATTTCTTTTAAAAAAAAAACCTCAATTGCTATTATTCTGGAACTTCTTTAGGGTGGTCATGGTCAAGATCTACAGCTGGAATACGACAACTAATTTTCTTGTCTACTAATGCAAATCAACTACAATCATGTGAAAAAGAAAGTACATTCTCTTTGAGTTCTATGGTTTGATGTATTAGGACACAGTAAAAATTATCTGGTGCTTAGCAGTTCTTAAAACTGTCAACAACAGATGACATATTACACCATGTCATCATTGATTTTATAAAAAGAAAGCTAAAATGGGGAAGCCATGTATAAAAATACACCTTAACTGCTTCCATAGGGATGAAGAGGCTAAGTAGCAGTCAAATGCTGCTAATTAAGTGCCCTGGATCAATTGATTATTAGTGTAACTACCTCTATAAAAGCCAAAGTTTAAGGGTTTTCTGGTTTCCAGCATTAAGCTGTGTGTTAACATAGTGCCAAAGAGTAAAGACATCAGCAATGATTTTAGAGAAGCAATTCCGATCAATCTGGGAAGGGTTATAAGGTCATTTCCAAACAATTTAAAGTCCATCATTCTACAGTAAGGAAGATTATTCACAAGTGGAAAACTTCAATACTTCCCAGGGATGGATGTCACAGCAAATTGACTCCAAGGTCTGACTGTGCAATGCTCAGAGAAATTGAAAAAAAAATCCAAGAGTTACACCTCAGACTTTACAGGTCTCAGTTAGCATGTTAAATGTTTAATTTCATGACAGAAAAAAGACTGAACAAGTATGGTTTGTTTAGAAGGGTTGCCAGGAGAAAGCCTCTTCTCTCTACAAAGAATATGGCAGAATGGCTTATGTGTGCAAAGCATCTGGAAGTCTTGTCCTTTGAACAGACAAGACTAAAGTGGAGGGCAGAGCTGACATCGGGGGGGGGGTACCTTGGAGCTCCCAAGGGGACCATCGATATCCAACAGCTGGTGGTCCTGATTGGACCTAAATCGACTAGGAGGGTCGAGAATCAAGAAGAGGACACTCCGTAGATCCCAGGGACACTGTTGTGGTTCGCCGGCAGCCTGTGCAGACGGCAGCAGAATTGGACAGTGGGGAAAAAAGGGGATCAGTCCAGAAGTCTCAAGAGTACTTGGACAAGGGCCCTGCGTCTGATGCAAAGATGGGGCCAGGACCATCTGTGAGTGAGATGCTGCCTCCAGAGCCTTCGGAGTCTGGCAGCAGTGAGGCAGACGACCTAGGGGAACCTGTTCCCAGTACTCGTGTGCACAGAGCTGCTAGAAGGTGAGAGCACCTGAAACAAAAGGGGTGACTCGAGAGTAAGGCTGGGAGGTGATTGCCCCTCCCATAAGGTATAAAGTACAGGCAAAGATGATGAAACCTTTGCAGGAAGCAAAGTCGTTCGTTCAGTTCAGATTCATTCTTGAAGCTCTTTGTACTTCGGTTGGTTGCTTATTTTGAGGGACTGTTTGAGATTCATTACCGGTTGGGAATGAAAATAATTTCCAGCATTGCAATAAAACAAGACTTTTTTTAAAAATAAGCGTGTGCATAATTACGGTCTCGGAAACCTTGGTCAGAACAGACACCGCAAAGTCCCTAGTAGATCTGGAGAGAACCATTCAGCCAGTTGAGAGAGAAAGTGGCCAATACGAGCCACTACAGATCCGGGGACAGCTGCCGACAGAAAGAAAAAGAGCACTGAGTGAGACCTATTAATTGCTGAAATAATGAAAGAAAGAATCCCCTAAGGAAAGTAGACTGAAGGGA